GGGAAGATTAAAAAAAACAGTGGAAAGTATAAAATATGTAGATTAACAACTGTAAAACCGTAAAGTTGTTGATTACTACAAACACTGTTATTATCAAAGAAAAGTAATCTCGGGAAAGCAGAGATCTGACATTGATTAAGATTGGTGACTTGGCCTGCAGTTTATATATACATAATACGTTATTAGTTTGCCACGTTAGGCAATATATATATTTCAAGATGCAGTCGATGTGCAGGATTTTGTTTCACTTTAATGTTTTTACTATAAAGTAACATCGAGCTTGACTGTCGTATTCCATTTGTCTTAGAAGACGTTGGTGTCTACTATAAAGAATGATAGATATTGTTGTTTGGTTTGGAGTGTTGATTTGATAGCCAAAATGATTATCTATCTATATAGTTGTTTCTTTTAGCTTAATACACAGAGACATAAGATATTGTTATAAGCTATATTTTAAGGTTATAATTTTCTTGTTAACTAGAGGGCGCATAATGTTAATATCAAGTAAGTTTGTGAGAGTAAGCTTAAAATGGTATAAATTGACGTCACGAAAACCCAGTGAGTTTGCGAAGTATCTTGAACAAGGATTAGATATAAATATGGGGAATCCAGTCAGTAAGCTAAGTAGCTTACAGAGTGAATAAGAGAAGCATAGATAGTTAATCAGAGAGTGCTCTTGTCAGTGTTTTGTTTTCAGTTACTTTATCGATTATTTGTGAAGTTACTTAGGGCTACAAGTTGCAAAGTGTGCAAGCCTGTAAAGAAAAAAAGAAAAGAGGGAATAATCGAATTCTATTATCTTAATATAGACTGAACTTTGACTTATTTTCACCAGATAATTTAAAAGAATTCGCTATCGAAAGAACAACATTACAACAGTATTCTACACTGCTATAATGTACATTGTAGAAAGCTGATTGGTTAACACAAATTCGAAAACGTTTTACGTTACCACAACATACTTTGTTTCTGATTATTCATGTAAATGTTGCATCAGGTGATAGCCGAAATCATGTGACATCTCGACTATTCTAAGATAGGGCTGGCATTAACTAGATTAATAGGAACTACGATCCATGTTTAGATATATATTTAAAAAAAAACTCTTAAAAGAAAATACATTAAATTTTGTACTTGTACGTAGTGAAAAATGAAAGTCACATATATGATGTATTGTTTACAAAAACAAGAGTAGTCTCTATTTGGAACCCACAATAAGTTTTATCTGTAGTGGAAGAGGTTTATTATCTTAAGTTAATAACCGTTTTGCAGCACACTATGTAAAAGTTTATATGAAACAATTAAATTCTAGTTTTTTTTGTCAATTAGTAACATCCACGACGGAATTTAACCCCGTACTTTAGGGTTGTAAGTTCGTAAACTTACCGCTGACCCACTGGGGGGACCTTGAGATCAGAGATGTGCATTTCAGAACTATCTGTCTGTCACAGGTCATTCATTTCCTAGGAGATCCGGCATGGCCAGGTGGTTAGGGCGTTCGACTCGCAATCTGTGGGTCGCGGGTTCAAATCCCCGTCACACCAAACTTGATCGCCCTTTCAGTCGTGGGGGCATTATAATGTGACGGTCAATCCCACTATTCGTTGGTAAAAGAGTAGCCCAAAAGTTGGCAGTGGGTGGTGATGACTAGCTGCCTTCCCTCTAGTCTTACACTGCTAAATTAGGGATGGCTGGCGCAGATAGCCCTCGCGTAGCTTTGGGCGAAATCCGTAACAAAACAAACATTTCCTAGGAAGCCTTTTGTATAATACCAAAAGTCGTCATCGGAGCGAGTCTATTCAACGCTATAGCACATGTGGAAATATTTCATTTGACATCATACATCCTGTAACCAGATATCTAAAACACAAATTGGATTATATTCTGAATTTTACCAATTAATTTGAAGTTAAGTTTCTCCACAAAGAAATTTAAATTCACGCAAGGGATTAAAGCTGCTGTTTGGTAAACAGACTTTCATTACATTTTTTAGAATTATTTTTTGCAAATGGAAGTTATCTTATGGATTATATATAACAGTTAGTGGGAACAGTATCCAAGTCTGCGACTTTATAAACCGAAATTGTGGTGAATAGTATAGCTTTTGTCACAAACTAGTGTTAAGCTGTTACCTCACAACTTTTAAGACAAGCTTCAAATATTATTATAATTGTAAATTGAAGGTTATAGGAAGAAACTCATGCTTCACGTACGAAAAAAAAAAAAGTATTTTTTGATGTAGCACTTTGTATTTGAATGCATAAAGTTTATAAAATGTAAAGACAGAGCTGTGGATTTAAAGTAATTAAAATAGTTATGTGACCTGCTTAGACTACTCGCATTTGAGGTTAGGTACGTAGACTTCTGAACGAATCTGATGGCCGTGCGGGGCGTCTCAATGGCTACGAAGTTAAACCTATTCCACAACACATGATACCCACCAAACACCTCTAATACAAAAGACATGTTGAGCCGAATGGTCTGAAGAAAAGTTACAAACCGATTGACTTCTCTAGTAACAGGAGGGTCGCGGGTTCGAATCCCCGTCCTGCCAAACATGCTCGCTATTTCAGCCGTGGGGGCATTATAATGTGACGGTCAATCCCATTATTCGTTGGTAAAAGAGTAGCCCAAGAGTTGGCGGTGGGTGGTGATGACCAGCTGCCTTCCCTCTAGTCTTACACTGCTAAATTAGGGACGGGTAGCGCAGATAGTTCCCGTGTAGCTTTGCGCGAAATTCAAAACAAACAAACAATCTCTAGTAACAGACTTCAAATATAGAGAGCATTCAAAATCTAGGTATCTCGGGCAAGTATTAAAACCCAAAAGGGTAAAGGTACCGGTACTCTTAGTGTCTATAAACAAATGAAGAAATTCACACACAAAACGTTAACACACAAACACTGCTGTCTGAGATGGGTCTTTGAGAAGTGACGGATCCATTCATCTAAATACCTTTACATTTACAATGCATACTACTATCTACACCCACCCCTCCCTTACGCATATGGTGACGTAGTCCCTAGTTTCCTACTCCTAATTACATTTTGAATAGTTTAATAAAGTTTAAAAAGCTTCTCACGCACGAACACGTGTCGCTCTTATTACTTTATAGATATCTTTTTCCTGTATTTTCGTGTGAAATTCTGGCAAAGTCTGTGCTCCTAAATTAAATCTTATAGACTATTAATCGAATCTTTAATCAACAATAACAAATGTTTCAATAATCGAGGAATGCTATCAATTTTCTATCAGTTTTGTTCAGAATTGTGTGGATTATTATTTCTTTTGACAGAACAGTTACATGAAAGAATTCGAATGTTCCATGAGTAAGACTGAGAGAAGATAAACGTTATTATAGTATTTTGGCACTTGTGTATAAAGTTAAAATCATAAATAATATTCAACGTTAAACTGGTACACAATTAAAAACACCTTATTTAGGCCCATCTATGGCCTTCAAAAAGTTGACGACTCTACATGTTTTGGGGGTGACGTTTTATTGTCGGAACATGTAGAGTGTTCAACTTTTTGAAGGCCATAGATAGGCCTAAATAAAATGTTTTTAATTGTGTACCAGTCAGTTTAACGTTGAATATTATTTATGATTTTAAAATGAACGAAAGTTTAAGAAAAATAGTTTCGTTAGTTAAAAGTAACTTGTTCCTTTATATT